CTCTTGTATGTTTCATTACCCATACATATAAATCAAAGTGCAAGCTTCAACAATTTTTTTTTTTAATTCGTATATTTGTAAACCTGTTAACAAGAAATGAAAAGTTCGATAAACATTCTTTTAAACAAGAATCTTAACGAGGTTCTTGGTACCTAGCATCCACCAATCAACTACCATCTGACGGACCAAAGGTATTACTTAATATGCTTTATTTAAATTTAATTCTGAGCATGAGGTATACATTCTTATATCTGATAAGAAAAATGTTCGAAATGAGATAAATGTTATAGTATAAAATGCAAACACGATGTTAAACATATTGCTTCCATTTTATGAATTATTTTTCTAATATACTTTTAATGAACTACCGTTAGAAATATGATATTTTATCTACATAATGAGTTATGCGAACATAAAAGGCAGCGTGTTACCATTAATAAAATTTAAGCATAATTGAAATATACTTGTCATGTGATTAGGATGACTAGAAATAGCCCAACGTACCTCCAGCATGCTGAAATGGCCATTGAGAACTACATAAATTATGAAGTGAGATGGGAGCGAACTTTTGTTGAACACGTTGAAGATTTCCTTTCTAAGTGGGAGCGAACAAGGTCGTTTGGATATAATGAGGGGACAATCCTGTCGATATATCACCTTATAAGCACTATGCGACCTCAATGGAGAGATGTGGCTTATTTCGTGAGGGACATGGACTATGATTTATATTTGGAAGAAGATTGGGATAAGATTGATTTTAAAGGATACTGTGAAGATATCATAATTTTATGGAATCACAGACAACAAGCACCAGCACCTGAGCCCGAACCCGAACCCGTACCCGAACCAGAGCCAGAGCCAGAGCCAGAGCCAGAGGAAGACCTAGAGGAGGACCCAGAGGAGGAGATCGAACCAGAGCTAGAAGACCCTGAGCAAGAAGTCCAACCACAAAATTTCATTGATTGGGTTATGGATTCGGAGCCCGAGTCATGCATTACTTCGGATGACGAGACTCCATAAAAAGACGATTTTTAGGACTCGCTGGGATTAGAAATAAGTGTTATTTATTTGCTTAGAAAAAGTTTGATTATTTAATTATTTATTTGATTTTATTATTATTTTTTTTTTGAAGAACAAATTTTCTATATGTAAGGATTTGGAAATTTATTATTACAAAGATTATTAATAATATTAGAGTGTTTTATCAAATTTTTTTTCTTCTAAATTAAAATTTTATTTGTGTTAAGAAAATGTCGAGACAACAACAAAATCAAGCTACCATAAGGGCGGTACAAGATTTGGGTAGACAACAAGCACAAGCTGGCCCTGCTAGTGCAAACACTAACAACACTAACTTAATTGTGGAACAGTTTCGTCATTACAAGCCCCCGACCTTTAATGGGATAACTGGCCCTTTAGCGGCCGAGGAATGGATAAGGGGTTTGGAACGAATTTTCAAGCATCTCTCTTGCACCGATGCCCAAAAGGTTTTATGTGCAGAGTTCATGCTAGTTGATGCAGCTGGCCACTGGTGGGAGTCCGTTTCACGGACTAGGACTAAGGCACAACAACGTAACCTCACCTGGGCACGATTCAAAGAGGAAGTGATGGGAAAATACTTTCCACAAGCCCTGAGAGATCGTAAGGAGACAGAGTTTCTGCAACTTAAGCAGGGAAAAATGACATTGGTTGATTAGGAGAGGAAGTTCGAACAACTTTCTAGGTATGCAGCGCATCTAGTGAATACAGAGCAAAAGAAAGCTAGAAGGTTTGAGCTCGGACTACGCCCAGAAATTGGAGGAATCATAGCATCTCATGAATTTACCACGTACAGTCAAGTTCTACAACGAGCGCAAGCAATTGCAAATCGACTAGAACTCGATCAAACAACTCAAGAAAGTACTGAATTTTCAGGAAAGAGGAAATGGAATGGGACGAACGAAGGTAAAGGAAATGGACAAAATAAGAGGGCTAGTTTTGAAAGGCGGTTAGAGTCAAACAAGCCGAATAGTGTTCTTACTCCTTGTCCTAAGTGCAATAAGGCTCATAGAGGCGAGTGTTTGTATGGAAAGAATGTATGCTATCGATGTGGAAAGCAAGGTCATATTGCTACCAATTGTCAGGAACCCCCACCAAAGAGGGACAACGATCAAAGCAAAAAGGGACCGGCTAGAGTCTTTGCTTTAACCCAACAAGAGGCAACTGAGAATTAGGACATGACAGCAGGTAATCTATCTATATCTGAATTACTTGCCTATATTCTTATATGCTTAGGAGCTATTCATTCCTTGTTTACCCTGTTCTCATTGCCAAATCTCGAACTAGTTGCGAAGAAGGCAGTAGTGTTCTAGAAGTTACTATTCTAGTGGCAATACACTTAATACAAGCAAATAGATAGAGGTCAAGATAGAAATGAATAGAAACGAATTTATAGCCAACATATACCTTTTAGAAATGAAGTATTTTTATGCCATCCTAATGGCGGATTGGATAGGGAACTTTTATGCGACAATATGACACTTTGGGAAGAAGATAAAATTTTAGAAGTCTGGAGAAGATGAGATCAAGGTCATGTACCTCAGACTTTTCACCTGGATAAGAAAAATTTCGAGGACGAAATTATTTTAAGGGGGTGAGATTGTAACATCTCGAAAATTTTAGAATAAAACTTAATTATATTACTTGTTATATTGTTATAAAATAATAGTAATAATAATAAGGACCAAGATGACATAGGTTTTTGAATTCATATTTTATTTTAGGTCAAATAATTAAATTTTGGAAGTGTGAGTGTAAGTATATCAATATTGTACTCGTTGAATAGCTTGTAATTAATTATGCATTTTAGGCTCGGGAAAAAGTTAATTTGGATAAGTTAGGATCAAGATATTATAGTTTTAAATATGTAAGCTTTGTTATTAATTGAGTTGATAAGTAATAGTATTTTAAATAATATGTAGCCACGTGTAACTTCCTTGCTTTTGATTAGGATTAAAAGGCTAATTGATATTTAATTAAAACTCCAACATGATTTCCCTTATTAGTTAGTTAAATTAGGATTGGAGTCAACCACAATTAAACGAGAATTTATGTGATTTCCTATTGTAAGCTGTCCACTTTTTTTTGCTCTCGATTAATAGAGAATAAATACTAGCTTTTTGGAAATTAAATACGAGTTTGATTATTTAATTATTTAAATTGTTTGTTTGCATTTATATAATCATGATTATCTATAATTTGGAAAGTTGAGGGATTAAGATGAAATATATTTTGGGTCAAATATTTGGAATTTGATAAGAAGATAAGTATATCAACATTGGGCTCTTTGGGTAGCTAATATTTAATTATGTATATTAGGCTTGATTAATTTAGATAAAAAAAAAAAAACGAATCAAGTAATGGCCAATCAAAGAAAGTTATGATTAAATGAAATATTTTAAATGAATTATTCTCTTTGGTTAAACAGGTGACGACAATTGAGATAAGGAAGGATTTTAATTATACTTAATCTAAACTCTATTGTTTAAATTCCTAATGTTATTATACGTGGCCAAACCAGTTTCATTATATTTAGGCTTATCACCAATTTTTTTTGATAAATTTAATTAGCAAAAGATTTTAATATATGATCACGTTTATCGTTAATCTGATATAGATTGAATTATATCCAAATATTTAAACCTAGATTTATCCAAATTTGAATAGTAGTTCACTGCCTCTCAATTTCCAATGCACCAGGACTCTTTTTTTTTTAAGTATAAATATCCTGTATAAGTCAAGTTTCTCACATATTTTTCAAAGTAAAAAGCAATTCTCCATCAATAAATTCGTTCGAGGCAGTTGAGGAACTTTGGAAATTGGAATATTTTCTTGGATTATTCTTTCAAAAATTCTTCAATCTAACGAGGTAGGATACTATGTGCAAGTGATTCATCCTCGCAATATTATAATTTTTTTTATGTGATTTATTTCATGAAATGTTAATTGACCTGCGGGTCCTTATGAAATGAAATGTGAGATCTCCTTCGAGTCATCTCAAATATGTTAGAGTATTCGATTGATCACCGATTGCTCTTGATGGAATGATGGTATGGAATGTTGTGAATTCATGTTTTAAAAGTTATTATATTGTTTGGATGCACGTATCCTACTGAGTAATACTCATTCCTTCAATTTTAACATTTCAGGTCAGATTGGTTAACGTGGATGGTGGCTGAGTGGTGGGCAGGTTGCCAAGTAAAAGAAATTTTTTTAGGAATCCATAATAAATTTGTTAAGACATTTTATGTTTCTCTTTAATTCCATTTATGACACTATGTTTATTTGATTCAGTGTTTGAGTTTCAATAAATTAAGGTTTTTAAGTTTTAAATTTTATTTCCGCTTGATATATGATTATGGAATGATATCGGTAACTCCTCAAATTTTAAGTCAATAATATTTGGGGCGATTCAATGTACAACAACTTAGGCATAGGCTCGAATGGTTACACTACTGGCATGGTGTCTTCAAATAAGAATATGAAAGAAAAGAAAAGAAAAGAATTTTAAAATATGTATTGTTGAACGAAACAAATATATCATGTTGTTCTTTTATGATAACAATATATTAACAAATAAGGTAGTAGTATATTAGTATAATAACGCTACCATAATGGTATAATAATTAATTAGACAACGATATTATTTCCTTTCGTTTCTTAATTTTGTCACACGAACATTAAATTGAATTTGCATAGAAAAAGATATCATGATATAAATCAACTCGTAAATATAAAAACATAAAAGTTTGTTCCTATTTCTATCAAAAGAAATATCGAATCTCACAAATTCAAACATGTAGCACAATGTTGGAGTTTACATAGAAAAAATCATAAAATAAAATTGATAATGTATTTTCTTTAAAAGAAAGTGTACAGATGACATTATGATGCAGCATCAAAGGAATAATAACTAAGGACTGAGAAAGAGAAGCACATGCAGAAGAATAAGCAACAGAAGAGAAGAAGAGGAAGAAGGAGAAACAGGGGAAGAAGAGGAATTCCCAGGGAAGAAGAAAATGTGGGCAGCAAGCCTGTTTAATTGTCACTCATCATAGTCTAAGAAAATATATTCACTTACGGCCATATAAATAGAAAATAGACAAACCTGAAGCCAAGGGCTTGAGCCAGCCCATTAAAACAATTCTAACTAAATAAAAGGAAAAATTTCATAAGTAAGAGATTAAGTATTGCATATTTCAAAATTAAGAAAACAAGTTTTAAATTTCAAAAATCAAATTTTTATTAAAATTTATTTATGAATTAATTAAATATATTTAGGTCACATATCTAAAAAAATTGGTCATAAATTAACAATTTAATTAGTCACTTATTATTTCTTGATCACAAATAAAAATATTTATGTGACAAATTATTTTACGATCACAATTCAAAATTTTTATAGATCACAATTTGTTCATCAATCACAAGTTAATGAATTAATTAGTTACGAAAAATTTTTAGTCACAACTTATCAAATTATTGGTCACAACTTATTTATCAGTCATAAATCAAAAATTTTATAGGTCACATATTATTTTTCGGTTACGAATAAATTTTTTTATAGGTCACAGATCACAAATATTATAGGTCATAATTTATTAGGAAGTCACAAATTATTACTTTTTAGGTCACACATTATTTCTTGATCACATTTTATCTTTTTCATCGATCATATATTGTTTATTGGTTACAGATTAATTAATTCATTGGTTACAATCAACCAACTAATTTGTGACCACTACCAACACTTACGACCACCACTTCAACATTACCTCTAACAGCACAACCATCACCGTCATCACCAAAACCATCACCACATTGATCACAAATTAATTAATTTATTGATCACAACTTTCAATTAACCAATAAAATCATCACAAACACCCACACCCCATCCCGCCACTTTAAAGCACCGAACCACCGCCAACCACCTCCAAGGACCTTGCCCCCCGCTGCCGCCACCGTAGACATCACCACCACTACAACATTAACAGCTCCCATGTCCCATCCTACCATTCCAACGCACCACACCCCACAGCCAACAACCACTAGTGACGCCGCCCACCGCCACCACCATCAACATCACCACCACTATAACACCAACGGTAACACTCGGCAAGCGCCGCATCCAAAACCACATATCCGAATTCTTTCGTGTTTCATCTTAAGAGTATTGCCTGAGTTGGGATTGGGTGCAGGTTAAATTCCAGCCTGTTCTTCAAAGTTCTTCGAGCAAACCACAGAATATATGCTTGCTCCGAATAATAAATATTATAACAGTCAATTAATCCATGGAAAGTAACTTAAACGTGTACCAGCTATTTCAATGTCAATCTTCTTGGGGGGGAACATGAACCCGAGGTGTACAGAACATTACCATCCCCCTCTTGAATACCAACGTTTCGCAAGCAAACACAATCCCTCAAAACAGCGTTTTATTTATCAATGACGCAAGCGCCGCTTCCATATATCACCGGCTCGGTACATGACGTCGGAACTGGCTTTGATTCTGGGAAATTCTTCCCTGAATTGGTCCTCGCCTTCACCGTATGTCGCCAACCACAAGAGCCACGACATTGGCGAGAATAGTAGGCGGAGGGGGGGGGGTGGTGGGCAGTTTTGTAAATGGAGGGGAGAGAGAGAGAGAGAGGGATGAAGATGGCTGGGAGTGATTAGGGTTTTTTATGTAATTAATTTATTTAAATAGTTAATACAAAAATCTGATTTTTGAAATATCAAAGTTCCAATCTGATTTAGGAATTTTGAATAGTTAATGTATGATTTTGTGTAATTTTTACTAAATAAAATAAGTAAACGACCCAATAATAACAAAAGGGGTGATGCCCACATCACATTGTTCTCAAATTTAGTAGCTAGAAAATGTTTTGCTTTGGGAACCAGAAAACCACTTTCACCATGGAGCTGATTCCACTGCAGGAGCTCTGTAATGATCCTGGAAAAGCGGGTGTGCTTGCACTAACCTGAATTAATAACAGAATGATCATGCTTCTAAACAGCATCTCACAAAAAATTCTTTCCAGTTATGTCGTTATTATTTTTTTTTTTTTTTTGTTCACGAGCATATTTGAAGTCCTTCATAGTTATATGCTGAAGACCAGAACTCCCTTTATTGGTAGGGAAGGCTTTCCTTCCATATCATCAGGGGTTGGTT